GGGCATTGACCGCACCGCCCGCACCGCGGGCGCTTAGCTAGTAGTACTCTGTGGATGAAGGATAGGCCTTGTTGACCGAACCCTTGCCAGATCAAGTAGGGCTAAAGACTGTGTCTGACGACTGGACTGTCCCGGAGGCCTAACCCTCCCAAGGACCGGTACAGACCGGCGGGCTGCTCGGTGTGGCACAGTAGGCCCGAAAGGTTGAGTTGTGGGCTGCGCAACAGGCAGTCTAAGTGTTGACAGACCTGCTGATCGCGTCGTCATGTTTGCGACGTTAAATAATTCCTGAGGAGCTACGGGGGATCTCCATAAATGCCTCCTGATCAACAACAGGTGTAGTAGTGACAGCCTTAGAGTAGGTCTAGGCTAGAGACCCTAGTTGATAGGATCCCTGTCCGGATTCTATGAGTCTTAGATTGAGTCACTCAGTTGTCAGTCAGGGGTACGAGTCTAAGTGCTAAGGTTTGGAACCGCTAATCCGGTTGTGCACTAATCACCATGGTTGACACCCGTAGTGGGAAAAACACTAGCCCCTATACCCAGAAGCAACAAGAGAAGATGACCGCCTTAGTGAGAGAGAATAAAGAAAGGAAAGAGCTCCTGAAGCAGGCGAAGTTGAAAGCAATCGCAGAGGAGCAGGCGGCAAAAATAAAAAAACTGGAGGAGGAGATGGAGGAGAAAAAAAAGGCTGCCGAGGTAGAAGCAACAGCCGAAGCAGAAGAGGAGAGAAAACGCAGGGAAGTAAAAGGGGAGAGTAGTGGCACGACGAACGAGGATGCAGCGATGGAGAAGAAGATCAGTGAGTAGGTTGCTAACTTATCGTTGGCGGAAGACGAGGAGGCACAGTTATATGTGCCACAGGATGAGAAGGAAGCGTTAGCCAGTGCGCTAGCAACAATCGAGGACCCCCTGGAACAACAAGAAGCAGAGGAGGAGAATAAGTTGGAGTGGAAACTGAGGATGAACAGGGAAAAAAAGAGAAGGAGAGAGGAAGTTAATAGGTTGACCGCGGAGGTGGCAAAGGTGAGAGACTGCAGACAAGAGGTGCAGGCGCACGCAGACATTTTCTGCCAAAATGGATAAGATGTCAGGGTACTTGGAAGTGTTGAGTGAGGCTTGGATGGAGGAGCGCAAAGCCAACTGGGGTCACGATGTGGCCCTGAGTGCCATGCGGTCAGGATTCCGGGATTTTGCGCGCGACATGGTCACCCACGTTGGGGGCGAAGTTAGGCGGTTAAGAGAGAACGTGGGAAGTTTTGTGAGGGCGCCACTGAGGGTGCCAAAGCAGTTGCCGCTGTTGAAAGTGAGGCCAGGCCCCGTAAAACGCCCGTCAAGCTTAAGTTCCCAGACGCATATGGTGAGAAGGAGGAGGAGAATTTTTATAACTGGGAGTCGAGCGTCAATAGTTATGTGTATTTACAGCACATCCTGACTGAGAAGCAAGTCCTCGTCGCCTTCCAGGCCCTCAAAGATGAAGCGGCCAGTTTTGCTAGATCCCTTGCACGCGCAACCGATTGTGAAAACAACCTGGTTGCATATTCCAAGATCAACCCCCTTCCTCAATTCTTCAAACTACTGCGAGAAAGGTTTGCTGACCCAACGAGAGGCGTGAGGACCTCTGATAAGTTACAGACCATCCACTCGCGACAGTGGAGGAGTGCAAGAGCACTCAAAGCTGTCATGGACGACTTGGTAGCCGTCCCAGACCACGGGGTCACTGAGACCCAACTGGTCCAATTGTTTTATCGTGCCATGCCAGAGCCCCTGCATGGGCATTTCTTTGATAAGTCTCAACAGACCGACATCACATATGATGTGTTGAGCAGAGAAGTGGTCCTGTTTGAGTCAAAGTCCATGCCAGTTTCCACTTTCTGGCATAAGGACTTGGATAAGGGGAAGAAGTGAAAAGGTCGTACCATCTCTGGCCAAGTAAGGGTCAAGGATCACATGATCCTTACTTTAGAAGAAGGTGGTACAGATGAAGTCCCCTACAGTGAGATCGAGTGGGGGTTAGAGGAGGAGGACAGCAGCGTAGGGCAGGGGAGGTCCTATGCGCCTGTCGCGGCTGGAGGGAGGCCGCAAGGTAGAGGAGGAGGCCAGGGCCAAAGGGGCCAGGCCACGGGAGGCCGAAGACCGGGCGCACAGGGGGTTGGCGGACAAGGGAACCGCCAAGTGGGAGGTAGGGGTCAAGGTCCCCCGCCAAATCGTCAAGGTTCTTGTCGGTCCCTGCAGCGACGAGGTGGAAGGCCACCTCAAGGAGGATGGCACCCAGGCTTGCCGCAGGGCAGGCCATGGAAAGATCTGGGCTTGGGCCAACGCGTATGGCAGGAACGCGTGGACTTGGGTCAGTGCGTGTTTTGTGGTGACCCGGCCCATGTAATTAAATTTTGTCCTAAGTATAGACAGGCCCGATGGGCTGCCTAACAGTCAAAAGGCAGCCGCTAGTAGGGGTCGCAACTGCCTCTACTTCAAGACCATGTGGGGAAGCGAGAGCGCGCGTACAGGAAACTCCCAAACCACATGAGCCTATGGAAGAGGTTGCAGGCCAGTGCCTAGCTAGCTGTCCAGAGACTGCTTGTGTTAGCGTCTCTCTACGCACTTCCCTCACAGGCGTGGCAGGAGAGTTGAAGGAGAGAATGCCGGCCTGGGCCAAAATGAAGAAGGAGAGTAAGGGACAACTAATCCTAGTTGATGTAGAAGTTTTCAGTCGTAATGTAGGGGCCCTTATAGATTCAGGGGCTACCCGTAGTTATATTAGCCGTACAACGCTGAAGAAGCTGCGACTATGATTGAAAGTCCAAAAGTTGGCAGACCCCATAGTCAGTGTCCTCGCAGACAACCGCTCGATGCGAATTGAGGACTACGTAGAGGGAGTCCAGGCGTACCTCCGCCTAGAGAAAGATGGGAAGGTGGAGAAAGTTCTCCATTCCCTGACTCTCCTCATTCAGGATAACCTTCCTTTAGACATAGTCTTAGGAATGGATTGGGGAGAGGCAGCAGTGGCCACACTCCATTTGAGAGAACATGAGTGTAGGCTCCCTAGTTCGTCAGGCGAGGTTAAAACTGGTCGCCTGTTTAATGTGTCAGGTGTAGACAATACTCTAACACATTGTTGTCTCAGTGCTCCCGTGTTCGCGCGATTCGTAGCAGTTAGAGGATCAGGTCTTTGTAGTATATGTCAGACCTGTCACTGAGCCTAAGGAAGAAGTTAGTTCCACAGATCCAACCATTGTCAAGCCGCTGGAGGAGTTCAAAGACTTATCTGAGCCGCTGACAGGAGTAGTGTCGCGGCCAATCCAGCACAGGATAGAGATAGAGTCTGACAGTCGAACTCCTAAGGGAGCAATCTACAGGATGTCCCCGAGAGAGTTAAAGGAGCTGCGCAAGCAGTTAGACGAGCTCCTTGAGAAAGGTTGGATCAGGCCCAGTTCATCTCCTTTTGGAGCACCAATTTTGTTTGTCCCCAAAAAGGAAGGAGAGTTGCGTATGTGCATAGACTATAGGGGGTTGAATGCCATTACAGTGAAGAATGTTGAGCCGCTGCCCAGGATTGTCTCTCTTAGATCAGGTGCAGGGTTGCAAGTATTTCTCAAAGATGGATTTGAAGTCCGGTTATCATCAGATAGAGGTCCATCCTGATGATCAGTACAAGACTGCAATCCGGACTAGGTACGGACATTACGAGTTTATAGTGATGCCCTTTGGACTGGCCAACGCGCCAGCCACATTTCAGCGTTGCATGAATGATCTGTTTAGACCTTGGTTGGATAGGTTCGTCGTAGTCTACTTAGATGACATCCTAGTATTCAGTAGGACCCTCCAGGAGCACCAGGGTCATTTGAGGCAGGTCTTGGAGAAGCTCAGGGAAGCTAACTTCAAGATTAACGCAAAGAAGTGCGAGTGGGCCAAGACACAAGTCCTGTACTTGGGCCACGTGTTAGATGGAGATGGCATTAAGCCAGCGGACAGCAAGATAGCGGCAATTAGAGACTGGCCGACGCCCCGCACATTGACAGAATTGCGGTCGTTCTTAGGCCTAGCTAACTACTATAGAAAGTTTGTGAGGAACTTTTCTACTATCGCCGCTCCTTTGCGCAGGTTGCTTAAGAAAGAGGCAATCTGGCAATGGGATAAAGATTGTACGTCTGCGCTTAAGAAGTTAAAGCGCGCGTTAATAGAGTACCCTGTCCTCAAAGTAGCAGATCCGTCTTTGCCATTTGTCGTCACCACGGACGCGAGTCAGTATGGGATAGGCGCCGTGTTACAGCAAGACGACGACAATGGCTATAAACCCGTAGAGTTCATGTCAGCGAGGATGCCCTCAGAGAAGGTTGCTACCTCGATGTACGAGCGGGAACTCAATGCTCTCAGGCAGGCTTTAGAGCACTGGAAGCATTACCTGCTTGGGAGGCATTTCAAAGTGTATTCTGACCATAAAACTCTTTGATGGTTAAAGACCCAGGCCAAAATGACACCTAAGTTGACTAGGTGGGCCGCTGAGATAAACCAGTATGACTTTGAGCTCAAATTGGTCAAAGGCAAGTACAATGTAGTTGCGGATGCTCTAAGTAGGAGATCAGACTACTTCGGAGCTGTAGTACACTATCTGGATATAGGGAAGGACATGCAAGAGAAAGTTAGACAGGCGTATGCGTAGGACCCTATCTATAGTGACCTCCTCAAAAGAGTTAAGGAGGCCTCAGAGACCGAACCAGACTACCGCACTACTGAAGGACTATTGTTTGAGAAGACTAATGTAGTAGACCGCCTGTGCATTCCCAACAGTGAGGAGATCCATACCCTAATCCTAGGGTAATGCCATGACGCATAGGGACACTTCGGTTGGCAGAAGACTTTAGCCAATCTGATGTGTGCATATACTTGGCCAAGAATGAAAGTTGACTGCATAGAGTATGTTCGCAGTTGCAAAGTTTGCCAAAGGAACAAGACCACTACGAGTGCTCCTCTAGGTCTTCTCAGACCCTTGCCTATCCCAGACCAACCTGGAGATTCAGTCTCCATTGACTTCATGGATGCCGGTGTCGGGAGTAGACACGGCAAGAGCCAAGTCATGATCATAGTTGATAGATTCAGTAAATATGCAGTTTTTGTTCCTTTGCCTGCAGAGGCACGTACGAAGTTAGTCATTCAGAAGTTTTTTTATCATTGGATTAGTGATCACGGGGTTCCGCTGTCTATAGTTAGTGATAGAGACACCAGATTCACGAGTCAGAACTGGCAGGAACTAATGAGAGTCTATGGATCAAAGTTGCTGATGTCATCTGACCGTCATCCAGAGACTAACGGTCAGACAGAACAGATGAACAAGATCCTGCAACAAGTTCTGCGCATGTATATTAGACCCGATCAAGTTAATTGGGACGAGATGTTTCCCAAGGTAGCCAGCGCATACAATAATAGCGTGCATTTGTCTACCTGTCGCACTCCCAACGAGTTACACAAGTCCTTTAGACCCCGCAAAACATTTGAATGACTACCCGGGATCAGATTCACAGGCTACCACCCGGTACCAGGGAGTTCGCGATACAACACGAGAAAGAGCTAGCAACTGTTGTTGAAAACCTCAAGAAGGCCCAACACCGAATAATAGAACAGGCTAATAAGCACTGTCGCCCATCGCAGTTTCAGGTAGGTGACCTGGTCTGGGTAAAGTCTAAAGAGTTTGCACCTGAGGAGAACATCTCGCATAAGTTATTGCCTGTATATAGAGGACCGTGGCCGGTTCTAGAAGTCAAGGGCGGAGAGGATGGACCGTCCTACACTATAGAGATTCTAGCACACCTTCACACCTACCCTGTGTTCCATGCTTCAAAGTTGTTGCCGTGTGTCACACAACAGAAAAATTCCCATGAGAAATGGAAGTTGAAAAAACATTCCATAAAAAAAAATCCTTCATATTGATAAATTATAATTCCAATGTTAGTCCAATTCTAAAATTTTCAGTTTTATTTAACAAGTTCCAGTTTAAATATGAGTTTTCCCTTCCAACTACATTTATTTGTTCAAGATGGAATGAAAGTCTAGACGAGTTTATGAAAAATTTTAATTAAACTTTCATTCTTTTACAAGAAATATCTTATAATTTGGATTGGATTAACCTATTTATGAATGAAAATCCTTACTTAGAATGACAGTTCAATTAAAATATTTCATGAACTCATGCAGACTTTCATTCCATCTCTAGCATGCAGTTCAAATAAGAAGGAATTCCCCATTCTTGGAAGGAAAGTTTTTAAGTAAGACGGAAACAAATTAAATTGGAATGACATTTTTTAAGATGGAATGAAAATTTAAAATTTAGAATGTAATTTTATTATAGAATGATTATTTAATTTTGGGAAATTTTTCTGTTGCAAGTCAACAGTTCCCTTCAAGAAGATCCATGATCCCTCCGGATATGGATGGAAGATATGACGTTGAAGGCATTGTAGATGAAGATGTGCTTAGGACAGGAGGTAGAGGTTGTCCACCGAAACAGTATAAAGTCCGGTTGCTTATCAGAAACCGGAAGACGACCGCTGGTTTACCAGAACAGAACTTCTAGAAACAGCTCCCGATATAGTTAGAGTCTATGAGAGTGATAAGAACGGTAAAGGTTCTGCCTTGGACTAAGATATTCTCGGAGGACCTCAAATTTAGGACGGCGGGAGTGAAACGGTTTTCACCTTTGCAGTAGCAGATGCAGATCCCCGGGCTCGATCCCTAGTCCTTACCCTACCGTGTACAATATCTGTGTAGACCCTGAGAGTTGAACCCGTGACCTGTGTATTTGTAAGCAACTGGTAGGCTGTCATAGGTCCGTAGGTTGTAGGGGTTCGATCTGTAGGTCTGTCGAACAAAAGTCTTAGTGAAGTCTAGAAGTCTTAGATGTAGTCTTCTAGAAGGTCGACAAGGGGGCAAGTGGGCAAGTGGTGAGCCAAGTGGTGGACTAACTGCAATACGATTGCAGTACGACCTCAGTAGGTTAGCAGTGAGTCCCCGAGCAGTCAGCGGTGCAGTCTAGTCAGTCCCAGTCCAGTCCAGCAAGTACCATGAGGGACTGTGTGCACCATGGGCCGAGGGAAAGGGGCAGACCAACGAGCTTCAGAAGTATAAATCAAGAGGCAGCGCCCAACCATTCATTCATTCCTGCGTGAGCCATGTGAAAGTGCTGTCGAGCGCATCGGTCCTGCACGGGGATCCTCCCGGCCGCGTCACGCAGGATTATGCAGGACGTGTCGCGGAGAGCGTTTGCCGCTCCGACCGAGTGCGCCAGCCGACAGGGTCACGCGAGGCACCGCTTACCTCCACATGCGGGAGCTGTCACCATCCCTTAGGTGGGCGTATCCCCGTCGAGCTACTGAACCACATGCGAAGGCTTTTCGTATGGAATTGCAGAGGTGGCCCAGCCGAGGGCGTTTCTCGTTCGCTGTAGCATAGGGGGTACGCGCGGTCGAACGCCCAAAATCGAACCCGCACGCGAATCGACGTTCTGGGGGGCTGACGACACCATAGTGCTCCTAGTCCCTTCAGTATCCGGCCCATAACTCAATGCAGCAAGAATCAGATAGGTATCGTGCGCTGAATTTCTTTATAAGTACCGATCGAGCGCATGACCTCATCACATCACCCAGCCATCCAGGCATACACAAGCAGTCGTGCGGATGGGGTACTATGTAGTACTCGTAGCCTCGCGGCCCTTGATAATCTCGAGGGTCGCGTTCTCGGCTGACAACGCGCCTTGAGGGTTAATCTCTCGACGCTGGACAACCGCCAAGTGTGGTTGAAGACCACACCCTCTTCTGCACCCTGTGCAGAGAGGTTGAGTAGACAGCTTCCAGCTGTCGTGGCGACCAGAGATCAAGGGGTTTGACTTTGACGGTTGCCACAGACTGCAACGTCCACCCATAATGACTCTAAAAAGTAAAAGGTAAAAGAGGATCCTCCTTTTCTCTCAATGCAAAACTTACTTAATCACTATGTACGGCCTCAATGGGTCGAGCAAACACAAGAAACATGATATAGAGGTAGGAGACGATCACTCTCACAATCACGATGCGGCTTCCCTCAAATATATATATAAACATATATAATCATACGCAAAACCAAGTCCGGACTTCAATTCACAGAACACATGTAATCACATCAAAGATCCACATCAACAGAGCACATACTACACGGGGTCAACTTCAACCATTCTTTGCGCTCACACCCCTTGCTTTAACCATACAAGCCTCACTCTTTGTGCAACTCTCAAAATAAAATACTCAACGTCTTTATTAAATGACCATTCAATTAAAGTCCGGTTAAAAATAGAACAAAACAACACAAAACACAGGGCTAAAGCCTTTAGGTTGAGTAGCAAGAGTGGATTAGAGTTGAGCCGGAAACCGACCTGTTATCCAAGGATAATTGAAAAGTGATTCTTGTAGGATCTGCTTGAAGATAGTAAAACCTTGAATCAATATGAATAAAGGTGACCTGCAACGTAGCACAAGCCAGTACCCAAGCCATGCTTGAGTGATCAAGAAATAATCCTACCTTCCTAACCTCTGATGTTTATCTAAAATGTAAGAAATTTCGGCAGCATATCCCCTAAATAGGATGGATTGCCAGATTCCTCCTAGCTGAAAATAATTCAACTCTCCAAATTCTACAAAATTTCGCAACACTTGCCGTAGGAAAAATGTCTGTCCAAAATTTCTACGAGTCCAAAATGACTAACTCTTTGGGATTTGTAGAAATTTCGGTAGCGCTTCCCGTAGGAAAAGTGGGTTACCAAGATTTATACAAAGCTGAAAACAAAAATGCACGGCAAAACTATACCTGGGACTAACTTCTGACACCTGCTTGATAACGTAGGCTCAACATTAGTCTGCATGCCCTCTGAGTGATACCATGAGCCAATGCTGATCCTAACCCTCAGCAGAGTCGGTCCTATCTCATCCCAAACTTCCCTCTCATCATCCATCTTACCTACCTATGGCTCCAGTACTTGGCGAGCCTCTACAACTACTCTATCAAAGAGAATACCACAGAGACGACCTTCAAAAACATGGACAGGTGAGTGCAACAACATCTTTCACCAACCCTCAGGTCCTTTTCCAGGTCACATAGTTCGTTCAAAAACCCTAATTATTCCCGTTTTACCCTTCCTTACATAAGACATAGGACCAGCCAACCCAACTTACGGATGTGACTAACCTGCCAATTTATATGACTATGCCACACCAACTTATGGTGCCCCAGTCTGGTAACACAAATATACGTACGCATAAGACCAAACCACACCAACTTATGGTGTGACCAGTTTCTGCAAAAAGATTGACATAAGGCGAATGACCGGCCGCACCAACTTATGGTGAGGCTGGTCAGCCTGAACGTTCGGCATACACATAGAACTGAACCTCCTCAACTTACGAGGGGCTAGCCTCTGCCTAAACAACAACAAAAGGCATATGACCAAACACAACAACTTATGTTGTACCTGACCAGCCCATACAGTGACATATAGCATAAG